TCTATTGCAATTGCAGTTGCCATGGGTTCTATATTCCTTGGTGATGCACTTCACCTCGGGAGGTATTATCTCTTTCCTCTTCGTACTTTCTAGCACATCCAGAAGATTTTTGTTTTCTATACTGAGAAAGAAAGAACTCGGTCTAGGTTGTTGAAATGCTTAGTATCTATTTTGAGTCTCCACGGACCACAGTTCCATGTTAGATGACTGTATACAATGCCACGCTCATAACGAATATAGGTTTTGCATGTATGTGTTGTGTGCAGTGTCATTGGATCAGTGATATTGTGTTTTGGTTTCTACACTGTGATTTGGGGTAAAACTAGAGAGGATTCAACCAAAACTGTAGCTGGTTCTGAGCATTGTTCACCCTTGCTGGTGACGACACATATCATAGAAGAAGGCTTGTCATTAAGATAAGATTGATGCATATGACTGACAATATGCTTTGTAAATGCGAGTGGATGGTGATAACTTTCAAATTATTGCATTGTGATACTCTCAGAAACATTTTCTTATCAACACAAAGTTACCCAAACGAATGAGTAAAAAATATCTTCTGTTTCGTTCTATGGAGAATTTTCAAATGAAAGTTTGGGATATTCTTCAGCTGCAGGATTAAGTTCTAGGTCCTCTTTGGGACCCTTTTATCATAAATATTTTAGCTGTATGGTGGTGACAATGGTGTAAATATTATTGGTCAAGTTGGGTATAATTAATGTAGCATTTAGGCAACGTGGTTGGATTATTCCCCGTGGTTGCTAATGAAGTCACTTTGACTTCTGAGATATTTTGAACATCAAATCTTATGGCAAGAGGAGCAGAAGAAGAGACACTGGTGATGCTTTTTTTGCAGAGATGTTGTGCCGTTTACTGCAATGGTCGCTGTGGAGTGTGTCATGATTGGATCTAACACACTGTCCAAGGCTGCGACGTTGAGAGGATTGAGCTTCTATCTCTCTGTCTTCTTTAACTATGCCGTTGCTTCACTTGTCCTTCCACTTTCCCTCATATTTAGAAGGTACTTGATCTCGTAAACTACTCTGTAATAACCTTCAAGCAAATATTATAAACATTTCAAGAATGTGAACATATATTACAATGTGCAGGTCAAGAAGATTTCCTTCAGCCAAATCTCCTGCCTTCTTCAAGATTTTCTTCCTTGCGCTTGTCATACAGTTATATAATACTAAAGATATGTGAATTTCCGGATTCTCTTTTACTTGGGAGGGAACAGGTTCATGTTGGTGATAAGCTTATAGCTGGCTATTAAGGCTTAGAATATAGTTCCCTAAGGCTTGCCTCTGCTATCAGCAATCTCATGCTCGCCATTATCTTCAGGTTACACCTCGTTCTCTTTCGATTCTTTGACGGGAAAGTAATCTAGACAGCTAAAAGTAGCAATGGAGTGATTCCACCCTCATTAACCGTATCAAATCTGAAGGCTTTTGGATTTGTGTAATGACAAAGATACGTTTTGCTTACTATCATCCGATCACTAGGATGACTGTAAAATTGGAGGCCTTTTGATAGCTGCACAATATTTACTTGTTCAGTCTGGTTGATTCTACAGGTACATAACAGTTCGTGAAAAAGACTTTGAATTTGTTGGTGACACATTGCTAATTTTTGGTAGCTCATATATGATTTCTGACTCGGATACCCTAAAGACATCTTTTCTTTTGACCGGTATGCGCTCATGAGTAGCAAACCTTGTATGCTGCTTTAAGTAGTGACTATATTCTAAGCTCAGAAATTAATACTTTGTTTCAGGGGGCTTAGTTTCATCATTGGCACAGTTAGACACATGTTACCTTGCTCAAGCATTGTCTAGTCATTGCAGTCGCTATGGTTGCTATATTCCTAGGCGATTTACTTTACTTTGGGAGGTAATATATCTTTTACAATTTTCCTGAATAGAATACTCAGATGAAAGCTAATTAATATTTACACATGTTTTAAGATAACTAGCTTCTTACAGTTTATCTGTCATCTGAAATATTTGAAAAGTTAAAGTAAATTTGATAAGTATTATTTTTTAAAAAAAATGAAATTGTTAACTTTATGTGCAACAGTATGATAATTTAAACTAAAACTAGATTTTGACCCGCGCTTGAAAATCGCGGAAATTTTTTATGATTAAAAATTTATATAATTGGGTTTTTGTCTTAATTAAAAGAATATTTTGATATAAAATCAGTTCACCAAAATTTGTGGTGATAATTGTTTTTCATTAGTTTTTAGTTTCAGTTTTTATTTTAGATTTTGGTTTTTAGTTTTTAAGTTTCTACTTTTCATTTTCAGTTTTTGGTTTGGGTTTTTAATTTTTAAACACGCTGAGTTAGTTTGAACTAATATTATCAACAAACAAATCTCAAATAATCGAACATCTAATTTAAAACTGAAAAGAAAATAACAATTTTTTAAAAATTTGTTTGAAATAGTTTATTTTGTAAATAAACAAAGCAAAAAATATAACATGTGTTTTCAGCTTTAGGTTTTGGAATTTAGTTTTTAGATTTAGTTTTTGGTTTTGCATTAAATTTTTTTAATCAGTAAATTATTTAAAAAAAATAAAAAAAAATAAACTATTTAAAAGTTACCATTGAAATTTATCAAAACAAAGTGATTGTTATTTAAAATAAAAAATATATTAACATGTTTTAAAGTACATGATTTAAATAAATGATTAGTAATAGATAATTTTGTTTTGTTAAAAATATTAAATATCTTTTAGGTCTGAAAATAATAATTGATTTTTTGATCTTTTAAGGTGAAAAGTTTATTCAATGTTTTTGGAGTTTTTTCTCAATACGGAGCCCAAAAACCAAACTATATAATTTGTTCAAAAAACAAAAGTAAGCCCAAGACTATATTCCATAAATAAACACTGGTTTAATTTAAGTATAATTAGTAAATTTCCATATTCAATATTTTGATGATATATATTCTTTTAGAACATTCCATATTTGTAGGAGAAAATATGTATTTTCGGTATACACATAGATACCTGCCGTATTTTGAAGGTAGTTTACATTAAGGTCGTCTCTTTACATTAATTGTGTTGGTTTAATTTAAGTAATACGGTTCAATCAATTATATGACTTATATTATTTGTAACATTCTAGAAAGGGTCCACATTTAAATGACAACTTGTATTAGTAGATAAAAAGAACAGTCTATTTTAATAGAGTAGATACGGGAAAAAATAAAATATATATTCACAAGACTTCTTCTGTTGTTTTCAAAATAAAGGGATTAGAACTTTTAAAAATTGCAAATTTAAAGTCACATGATAAATAAATGTTAAGGAGAAAAATTACTTATTGGAATAGTTTTCTTTTTAAAGATTGTTTTAGAAGCGAAATTCAGCCGTTACTAGGACACCCAAAAGAGTCTTAACTCATTGGAGAAGAATTTTCTAATGAAATGATTAAACTGAAGCTATAAGCCTATCATGGGAAAGTTTCTTCCTTGTGGTGGGTCCCTAGATTAATTGGGATATGATCTTTGTGGTGTAAAGTGTCGGTAAAAGTTTCTGAATTTGCCATTCTTGTCGTCACTAAGAACATGGTTATTTGTTGCGGCTTCTACGCTCACTTTAACTTCAGAGACTTTCTGTAAATCTGGATATCAAAATTTATAATCATGATAGAAGAGAGAGTGGCGTGGAGGTACATTAACAGAGATGTTGTACCATTTGCTGTAATGGTCACAGTGGAATGTGCAACGGTTGGATCGACCACACTGTTCAAGGCTGCGAGCTTGAGAGGGTTGAGCTTCTATGTCTTTGTCTTCTATACTTATGTTGTTGCTGCACTTGTCCTTCTTCCACTTTCCCTCATCTTTGGGAGGTATACTTGGTCTCCTCACTTACTCTCTTTTTCCACTTTCTCTCATTTTTGTCAAGAATGTGAACACAATTTAGATGTGCAGGTCAAGAAGGTTACCTTCAGCCAAAGCTTCTTTCTTCTTCAAGATTTTCTTACTTGCGCTTCTTGGATTCATATCGCTGCTAGCTGGTTGTAAAGGAGTAGAATATAGTAATCCTACTCTTGCCTCTGCTATAAGCACCCTCACGCCAGCTTTTACCTTTACCCTCGCCGTTGTCTTCAGGTTCCTCCTTGTTCTCTGTTAATTATTTTAATGTAAGTAATCTACACAGCTATGTTAAGCGTTTCTGCTTCCTTTGGTGACTTGTAAAGGATGGAACGGATAGTGTTAAAGAGCTCTGCGAGTCAGGCTAAGATCATTGGCACGATAGTATCGATATCTGGTGCTCTGGTTATTGTGCTATATAAAGGCCCAAAACTTCTCTCTTCTGCATCTTTAGAACCTACCGTTTCACTTTACCAGGATTTGACTTCTTTCGATTCAAGCTGGGTGATAGGAGGCGTCTTACTTGTTACACAGTACTTGCTTGTTTCAGTATGGTACATTCTTCAGGTATGAGAAAAGACTTTGGTCTAAATGAGTTTCAGCTATTCACACATAGAAACTCATGGCTAAGTTTGGTTGCTCTATAATGATATCAGACTCAGGTCATGGAGGTGTACCCTGAAAAAACAACTGTAGTTTTGTTGTACATCTTATGCGCAACAGTAATCTCGGCACCTGTTTGTATGCTTGCGGAAAAAGACTTGACTTCCTTTCTGCTTAAACCGGATGTCCCTCTCGCTTCAGTCATGTACACGGTGAGAACTCAAACCACTGACTGTATATTTAAGCTCAGAAAGTATAACGGTTCTGTTTTTAGGGAGGCTTAATTTCATCGTTGGGCACAGTTATACACACATGGGGTCTGCATATGAAGGGTCCGGTCTACATATCCTTGTTCAAGCCGTTGTCTATTGTCATTGCTGTTGTAATGGCTGCTATATTCCTCGGCGATCCACTTTACCTTGGGAGGTACCCTCACAAATCACACTTAGCCTCCATAATCCTTAAATGCCTCTGTATAAATGGTAATATAAATTTCAACGTATATGTGTTGTGTGCAGTGTCATCGGATCAGTGATTTTGAGCTGTGGATTCTACACTGTGATTTGGGGAAAAGCAAGAGAGGATTCAACCAGAACTGTAGCTGGTTCCGAGAAGTCACCTTTGTTGGTTACACACACCATAGAAGATGAAGCCTCATCATGAAGATGTGACTGGTGCAAGTGGAGTACTCTTCAATGGATAGGGTGCCATCAAGAGATATTATTTACCCAAATATTGTTTAAGTATAGTTTTATTTAGTACTTCAATACCTTGTAAAGAAGCTATGCAAAATAAGCTACAATCTTTAGCATTATAGTGTATATATCTGGTTCTTTATAATATATATGCTTCTTTCAAGTTGGATCACTGGAAGCCTTTTGCTTAGATCATGGAGATAATTCCCTGCAATGCTCAGCAGTCAGCAGCCGGTAGTATGTCTATTTGTAGATATAGAATTAAATCTATGAAAACTCACTGCAGTGCAGTCAGATACTTGGTGAGGCATGAAACCTTGTAAGTATAACTCAGTTTGAGTTACTGACTCTTACCTTAGCTTAAGCTCTGTATATAACACTCTGTTTCTTTGATACATCACTGGGTTCAGTTATCCACACATGGGGTCTGCATCTGAAGGGTCTGGTCTGTATCTTTGTTCAAGCCGTTATCTATTGCAGTTGCAGTCGCCATGGCTGCTATATTTATCTGCGATCCACTTCATTTAGAGAGGTACCATTGTCCTTAATATTCTTTCAACTATAGTGTCTTTCTTGAAAAACATAAGGGATAAACAAAATTTAGTATTAGAATTTTAGTTGTTGGGTATGATGTACTAGTGATTATTATTATACATAATTTTGCTTTTATGTGTTGTGGACAATGAGTATGACTGATCAGTGATATTGAGTTTTGGGTTTTACACTTTGTTTGGGACAAAAGATACAGCCAAAATGTAAGTGATTCTGACCAGTCACTTCTGTTGCCTACATAAAACAAAGTAGATGAAACTTTATCATGAAGAGATGTTGGATACCGGTGGAAAAATTATGAGAAAGATTACATAGACAATTCGACAACCGACAATACTATCTGTAGATATTGAAACATGGACCTCCTAATATAAAAACATTAATGAACCTTCAGTCAAACCATTGGACTAAAGGGGCTTCCACAATTTTTACGTAGTATTAATTATTTAACGTTTTTATGTATTATTAAACTAACAAGATAATAATATATATTGAATATTTTCAACTAACTATTACATATACTAGGTCCGTTTCCGCACTACGCGGGATTATGCGTTTTAATTTTGTAAAACTATATACTATTTGGAGAAGTAAAAAAATTGACAATTGTTTTGGGGGAAAATAGTTTTTTTAGCCCAAATCCATTAGGACATTGTCCTCTTAGGTTAATATCATTTACTTATTGGCCCATTAGACTAAATTTCTATAATATTATTTGAGAAGTCACTTTCTTAGGTGTCGTGCTCACGTTAACTCTCACGCTGGTTGATTACTATGATACCCCTAATGAATTAAAAATATATTTAAATATTATTATTTCCTTTTTAAAATCTTCCAAATAACAATATAAAATAAAAAGGAAATATTTATAAAATTTACAAAACTATTTAAAACGAAAAAATTAGTATATATATAATATGGTTTCATAAAAAAAGAAAGTTTACAAAATAGTAATATTTAACTTAAATATATTTTTAAATAACATAAATTATACTTTTAAGTAATAAAATACTTTATATCTATATCTTCCTAGATGAAAAAATATTTTTTTTATAATGTGTTTTCATTAAAAAAGTTCATACAAATAATCTTGATACTAGAAAACAAATTTTTTTTCTTAAAAAAATAATTTAAAGAATAAAATATATATTTTCAAATTAATTATTTTTTGATATATCTATCTATTTTATTAGATGATTACATAAAATAATTAAGTAACATAAACTGATATATGTTTAATTGACAAAAAAATATAATTAGTATTACTGAAATATTTTCTTAATATATTTATTTGATTATAATATCTTACAATTACAGCAAAAAATATAAATTATATTTTGCTTATATAATATAATTTCTCAAAACCAATCACATTTTTACTGCATATTTTAATAGATGTTAAAAACAAAACTAATAAATTTAATAATAAACATCTTTTGATCAAATAACTACAATTCTTTTAATATATCATAACACTATAATTTAACAAGGTAGATCTATTATTATAAAGAATTGTTGCCTCCCTCTAGGATGTTCCACGTCACTAATTGAAGGAAAGAGAATCTGACGCGTGTCTTCTTTTTTATTAGAGTTCCGCTACTCTCATTTCGTGTTTGTTAACTGGGCTTGAACGACTATTTAATGATTTCATTTTGTTTTATGATAATGGGCTTCAACATTTTACTCTTTTGTGGGCTATGAAACACACAATTTTGCTCACCAGGAAACCTAATATACGTCAGTCGTCGTCGTTCTAACGTTGTTCTAACAATGGAAACTAGGGTTCTTGGTAGTGCTGTTTGGTCGAGCTCTAATGGAGGTGTTAGGAGGTTGTCTGTGTCAAATAATGATTCCGAAAATCTCTGTCTTGGTATCTTTCATGGCGTTTTGTCTCAGATCCATCGCCTCCGATACGTTACGGGATTAATTGGTTAATCGCCATTAATAGCATTCTTAAATCCCTGGATCCACGATTCTCATTCAATACTTCTTCCTTCTAGGCGGTGAAACTTCACCTATAAAAAGGTATGTCTTCTCCCCATAAACACCATCCTCACCAACCCGAAGCTTATTCTTAGTATAATGGCTNGGTGGAGAACTTCTGGGTGTAATCTACACCGTGTAGATATGCTCCTCCGGGATGCTAAGGTGATTCCATTCATTAAAGTCATGTTCATATTTGTTTATGAACACCAGCGGTGTCTATATTCATAGTCATTAAAATTTTCCACTTTGGAGATGGTTTTGACTCCGGTTGTTTATTTATTTATTTATTTATTTATTTATTTATTTTCAAATCGTTTTCAGCCACACTCATACCCACCACCGTCAATGTTAACTGGCTTGCCACTTACAGCCCTCACTTCAAGGCGGGTTCTATGTACTCATTGAGCGGCTTTGATGTTTGTAGGTGTAATCAAAATTTCAGACTCTCCTCTGTTCAGTGATTCAACATGTCGATGTGTTCACAGAAACGGTTACCCTAATTCCTCAAGAACGTTTCAGATTCCGTAATTACAGTGAGCGCTGCTAGCAAGCACAGTAATACCCAGCTTCCAGGTTATTCACTTACTATCTGTTTCTCCCATGTTCACAATTGTAACCTTTAGGCTTTTTATATTTAATTTTTCCAGACATTATCGGTCAGCTTACTGCTATCAAGAGCAGTATCAGTGACCATTCAAATCGATGGGTAACTATCTACTTCATATATAGCTCAGCACCTTTTTCAATATTGTACTCTGCAACTTGATCTTCCTAATAAAGTAGAATGATCTATCATAACCACATCAACAACCACCATCCTTTTAAAATACTTTGCCTCTCTTCTAGGTACCGTGTGGGCCGTGGGGATGAATATTGGTGATGATTAGACTGCTGAGAGTCTATATTTGTTTGTTTCGATGGGGAAATGCAGATATTACATACCATCCAAGCCTATGAAGCTAGGCATCTATTGGTACGTGTCTACCTTAACACATGTCATTATGCATAATTATCTTCAAATTATTGAATTAAGCATTCACAATTCATTCACTAGACACATAGGCTGGAGAGGGAGAGAATCCAGATGTACTCAGCTACCCCTTTTATTGCGTACATGGTTGGGAAGCTTTACACATGTCAGGTCAGGGTACCCAAATAAAATTTCACAGCCAGTCACCAAAACTTCACTATATCACAGCATATGAGTATATTTATCACAGTTCTTCTGTAGTACAAGAAAACTAAAATGTGCTCATTCCCACAGGACAGCAACGATGGTATGTCTGGGAATGTATCATTGGCTACTACAATGGATATTGATGTCAACGATTGTGAGGAGGCACCAACTATAGGAACTACTTCAACTGGTGTCGAGATCAATAAGTATCCCGCGACAGTAACTTGCAACGTTGCCAAGAAAACATTTGCATAAGCAAAGATATATCTTAAAGTATTTCAGCCCTCTATTTTCTATTTGAATAATGCTATATTGCTACCTCATCGATGTTGGTTTTCCTTTTTTAAAATGGGGAAGTTGCTACTGTTTTTTTCGAAAAAAAGTTCTCAACTACTTTATATTCTGAATTATCTTATAAAATATGTTTGGCTTTAAGTTTTATAAAAGTTGTTTAAGTTATTGGAACATATAAAAATGTCTTTCCTCAGTTCAAACGTTTAATCTATGAAAAAATCAAGAGCATATATACTAAACACAGTAATCCATGTGTCCAGAAATATATATATCATATATATATTGATTCCCTTCTGCATAATAATTCTGTACATATACTTTTAGTCTTCTACATTAGTTTTTTTTTTTAAAAACAGTATATCTATTCACCAAAATATTTATTAAAAATAATTATGGAATTTTATTACTAAAATAGTTAATTTAGTTTTAAATGTTCTAAGATAAATAAGCGTTACTAAAAAAACATATTTAAAGATATAGACAATTTTTTCCTTAAAATAATTAAAAAGATTATGTAACACAATATACACCAAAATGCATGGCTGATCTAGCATGTGCTCAAAACAAATTTTACCTAAGACGTCAAATCAACTCATCTCCAAACTGTCTCAGGTTCATATTGGATTGTCTTAAACAATATGACAATGAAAAATATATTTTGAAAAAACACACTCCAGCAAAGAGCTTCCAACCCCAAAATATAAACAAACAACTAATCTCTCCAAATATGAGCAAAAAATTAGAAAAACCCTAAATAAACCGAACACTAATTATATATAGAACCAGAATAAGTAGACTAAATAATTCATCCTACATACAATCCCTTTTCCAATCATACCATTGACCTCAAACATACTTTGAGAAAAATAAATCATTCTCATAGACTCCAGNACAAACAACTAATCTCTCCAAATATGAGCAAAAAATTAGAAAAACCCTAAATAAACCGAACACTAATT